CCAGAACCATTTGTTGAAGAGGTTTTTTTTTCAACAATATATTTTTGGGCACCTTTGTGGAGTCGGCTATAGCTGTGTAGGTTTGTTACTGGGCCCTCTATTCTATTCCATTGACCTACTTGTCTAATTTTAGCCAGTACCATGCTATTTTTGTTATTATGGTTATGTAACATAATTTGAAGTCAAGAATTTTGATGCCTCCAGCATTGCTCATTTTGCTCAGGATTGCTTTGGCTATTCAGGGTATCCTGTGATTCCATATAAATTGTAGGATTTTTAAATTTATTTGAAGAATATCATTGGAACTTTGATGTCATTCACATTAAGTAGCAATTCCACATGTATATTCAGATGTGTTTCCATGCTATTTCCTATATCATTGAACAGTGTTCTGTTCAAATTACTAGAATTTGACATAAAGTTCTAGCTTTTAAGCAAATTTATGTATTTTATTAGTATTAAAAATTACCATTGTTTTTCATGTACTCCTAATTAGATATGAAATTTAGAATTAATTAATCAACTTCTATGACATGGTTTATTTGGACTTCAGTTACATTTGTACTGAATGTACATCTTTATCTAATGAGAATTCAAATCGTTAATATATAATTTCCCCATCTGTAGTAATAATTTCAAAAGAACATTATTTGATTCCCTGGTTCTGTAGTTAACCAGGGTAGAGGTCAATGACTGCTAGCCAGGAGCTGGTGTGACAGATCACAATTTTCTGGGATGCAGTTAATCTTAATTGAAAGAAGAGCCCTATTCCTCACACTGCCCACCTACTTGAATCTCAAAATTACCATCTGGATAGTCAGGACTCATGGATGCTGGTGTTGTAAGGGACCTGAGTAATAATCTAGTACATAGTTCCCAACTACCAGGTGGGAAATTACGAAAAAATGTAACCAGGGGAACTATAAAGAGCTTTTATAGACCAGTAGATCTTTCTAAGAAGAACACTTTATTAGGCTGGATGCACCTATGCCCAGACAGAGGCAAGACCCCATGACCTATTTTAGTCCCTTCTACCTGAGAGATGATCCTCTCTCTATTATCCTGTGAGTCTAATGGACTGTTATTGCATGAATTCACAAGTCTATGATTCTATGAGCTTGTGTCCAAAGGGACAAATGGGAGGGATATTCTGGAGGCTTTTGGGAATAACCCCATTACTCATCAAGGCATTGGCACAAGTCATCTGGCTCCTCCATATCTTGTATCCCTAGTCTATAAATGGGTGGGGCACAACCACCCACTTGTTTGGGTGGCACATGGATACAGTATCTCTCACCAGGGATGTTGACACTGTCTGCAGATGTCAAAACCATTAGTGAGAACCTCACCCCAAAGAGCAGGAAGTAAGCCAGCCAATCAGAACTCACAGTTGACATGAGATGCCCAGATTGGCTAATGGCAGGACAGCATTCACCCCAGGAGGAGTGAGGTTGGTTTGGGTTGTACTCTCAGTGTAAAACATTCCCATTGGTTCACTCATTCATTCATTTGTTTACTTAGTGTTTCCCAGGTCCTGTGATGATATATAGTGAATGTGTTCATAGTTAGCAGCTCTTGAAAATTATAGTATAGTGGGAATAAACTGGACAGCTAGAATGTGGAAGTATACATGTCCTTTTTAGAACAGGCCCCTATAATCACAGAATGTCCCTGTCAGAAGTGGATGTAGAATCATGGGATGTGGCAGTGAAAGAATCAGGACAAGAGCTCATTGTCCCTATATATGCCCCCCAAAGTCTCTCCCCTATTTTGGGGAAATTCCATAAAGTGGCTAGTCTCTTATAGTATTTCCTTCACTTTAAAACAGGGTGTCACCTCCTATAAATAATAAAGAAGGCTTCTTAATGACTGCCTGACTGCTGAGCGACTGAAATGTATGGTTCCTAAAACATGAGTTTTAACCAGTAGCAGCAAGTTGTGGTAGAAAAACAATAAAATTTGAAATCTCTTATACCGCAGTTCAAATCCTGGCTGTGTGATCTTGTGCAAATTATTTGTTTGCTTGCTTTTTTGTTTCAGACACTATTGTGAAGAATAGATTTGACACACTATCTCATGAAGGTTCTGGCCACAGTAGAGATTATTCTTTCCCCTTCCCTTCACAATTGAGGTGAGATACTTAGTAGAGCAGAAATGGAATGGCCCGGACTTACCCCTCTCCTTGGGTGAGGGACTGGTGGGCTTCTCAGAGCAAGTGTGCAGTGTGACAAGTCCATCAGTCAGTGGTGACAGGAAGAACCAGGACACATTCCAAGTCTGGGGTAGAACCTCCCCTTCTTGTTTCCTCCAAACTGTTCAGGGACAGACCTTGCAAGACCTGGCTTGAACTAGTAGAGATTTTCATGTTCTTTATCTAGGAAATTTGAGAGCCTAAGAACTTATGGATCATGAAGATTTATTTTGGATAAATATAGGAGTACCTTTTGCCTGAGAAGACACAGGGGCCATGGTGAGGTCTGGACCGGCTGGCGTGTGGGAGCAACATTTGAAACCAGTGCTAGATTCAGGCCTAAGACAGCTTCCCATCATGAACAGCTCTTATTGTGGGTAGCCCACCATAGCTTGGTGAAAAACAGTATGGACTCTGTGACTAGACAGGTTTGGGTTTTAGAGATACTCCATTCCCCACTGATAAGGATGGCCTTGATGAGCTAATTAGACCTCTGGGGCTCAATTTCCTCCTGTATAAAAATGGAGCTAGCCTAGCCTACCGCACTGGGTAGTTGTGAAGATCAAACACAGCAAAAGAGGCCAGGACAGAATTAGGCACATAGTAAGTGCTCAATAGATATTATTCCCACCTCTGTACATCTACTGCATTGGGGAAAGGAAAAGAGGCAGAGATTAAAGGGTGATGCCATGTCCAGGTATAAAAGACAACATATAGTGATAAATTATACAACAACATGTAGCATGATAAAGATCATGTCCAAGAGTGTAGATTGCCTGCACTTGAATTCTGGCTTCTATATTTACTTGCTTTGGATGAGAGTAACTCCCTTCATCTTTGATTTTCACCCATCTGTAAATGTGCCTGCTTCATAAATTGACACATAAAAGCATTCAACTAAATGTTAGGTTCTACTATTATTATTATTGCCTAATGATCATTTGGGTAGTAGTCTTCCTACCCTATGTTCTTTGGACTCTAATCCTGGAAGTGAGGTCCAAGAAGGTGAAGATGGGGGAGGTCATGGAACATGAGAAGGCTAAGGAGAAACAGCTTAAAGCTTGGAGCCTGGGGTCAGTAAGCAGCCACTAGTCTCCAAATAAACTTAGAATAACCTGATCATTCATGGAATATACTATTTCTTTGGGACTTTGCTGTCATACTGAGCCAAAGACCACTGTGCCAAACTTTTTGTACCTAGCAGCCCAGACTAGCATAAGATACCAATGAAGTACTCTGAAGAACACTGAGAAGACATGGCATATCACAGTGCATGAAAAATTGAGAATCTAATAATAAGTTGGACAAGTCCTTGAAGATCCAAGTGGCTTAGAACAGCTTCATTAGGGGCAGATTACATGGGTATTGCTCTAAACTTCTAGGAAAAGAAGGTAGAGTTGTTTCATGAAGAAGGCAGCAGCAATCATTTATCTCAAATTTAGGAAAATTCAATGTCAAGTAGAGACATGCCCTGCTCTGACTGAAGAGTCAGACATACTGGGGAGGAATCTTGCCAATGCAAAATCAGTCCTCCTCCTCGTGATCTCTGGTGCTTCATTTAGATGGCATTAAATTGCCTCATTGCTGCCCTATAAAAAGTCTCCCCAAATGCCAGTTCCTCAGATACTTGGCTTCTTCCAGTCTTGTTTCTTCCAGGAAAGAAGGTAAGTCTTTGTATCTGAGATAGGAATTTGGCAAGAAACAGAGACAGACTGAACTTGGGGTAAATTTTGGGATAAAGCAGGAAACTAGACTAAACACTGAGGACATTCATGAAGAGGATGATAGCATGCTGGTGGAAAGAATGCACCTGGGAGCAAGAGGAGAGGAGAAGTGTGAGCTTAGCTAGTAGTTCTACGTGAAAAGAATTTCAGAGCACTGGGCTCCCCATCCTCGTTCTGTGAAGGCCTTTGTGCAGTCTTTTCTTGGATACAATTAATGGGGTGAAATGATAGCTAGCTGATCCAAGGAGAAAATGGTACGAACTGACTCAACATTGGCCTTGCTCTTTGCTCCCTTTCAGCTCAGTTTGAGACTCAGGTTAGCTCAGGGTCTATTGACATATATATGCCTTCCTTGGGGACACACTGGCTGAGCAGAAGGAAAGCCACCTTGGAGAGAACTGGTGGCAGAGGGAAATCAGCTACAGAATAGTGATTTTGCAAGGATGATTCACAACGTAGATACTGAAGTAAATAAGAAGAGAGGGTAGAAACTTCATTTCCTATTGTGGAAACTGAATCCCAGAGGTGAGCGATAACTTGCCAAAGTCATACAGTCAGGCAAAGGCACTATAAGTGAACCTAGACTCCCTGGCTCTGCATCTGCCCTACTGCCAGATGTTCAGCCTCTGGATATTCATGACCTCTCAACAAGGCTACTGCTGCTGGGAATGGTGGCTCACATGTATAATTGCAGCTACTCAGGAGGCAGCAATCTGGAGGATCATGGTTCAAGGTCAGGCTGGGCAAAAGTTAGTGAGTCCTTATTTTAATCAACAAGCCGGGTATAGTTGCATGTGCCTGCCACCTAGCTATACAGGAAGCATAGCTAGGAGGCTTGTGGTCCCAGACCAGCCTGGGCCCAAAACAAAAGACCCTATTCAAAATAACTAAAGAAAAACAAGGGGGTGAGGGACATGGTAGAACACCCAAAGTCCTGTACTGAGAAACAAGCAAACAAACCAAAAGGCCGGTGTATACAGATCCCTCCACTCAAAGGGAATTCTGTGGATTCTCCTTTCCATGAAAACTCTGTTTCACAGCTCTGATGAAAACTTTCTTTTCAGATTTTTCAAAGCCAAAGCAAGATGTGTGACCAGCAGAAACAGCCACAGTTCCCTCCATCTTGTGTGAAAGGTTCAGGATTGAACTCTGGGCTAGGTTCTGGTGGTGCTTCTGTGAGCTTCCAGGCTCCAAGCCAGACTCAAACTATCTGTCCTGCTCCCTGCCAGACTCAAACCTACACGAAGTGCCAAGTTCCCTGCCAGACCAAAAGCTATGTGAAGTGCCCAGCTCCCTGCCAGACATATGTGAAGTGCCCAGCTCCCTGCCAGACATATGTAAAGTGCCCAACTCCATGCCAGACAACCTATGTGAAGTGCCCAGCTCCGTGCCAGACAACCTATGTGAAGTGCCCAGCACCATGCCAGACGTATGTGAAGTGCCCAGCTCCATGCCAGACAACCTATGTCAAATATCCAGCTCCCTGCCAGACCCAGAGGTATTATGTCCAGTACTCTTCTCCTTGCCAGACCTACTATACTCAAGCTTCTGCAGGTGGCTCAGGCTCCCAAGGCTGTGCCCCTGATCCATGCTCTGCTCCCTGTTCTACCAGCTACTGCTGTCTGGCTCCCCGGACCTTTGGAGTGAGTCCCCTGAGACGCTGGGTCCAGAGGCCGCAAAGCTGTAACACAGGATCCTCTGGCTGCTGTGAAGATTCTGGATGCTGCAACTCTGGGTGCTGTGACTCTGGGTGCTGCTGTTTGGGAATTATCCCCATGAGTTCCCGAGGTCCTGCATGCTGTGACCATGAAGATGATTGCTGCTGTTAAACCCAAAATGATAGCCCTGCTCCAGAATTCACTGCTCTACTATGCCTGCTGAAATATTCACCAGCCTCTAGTCCCTTCCCTGGTCTTCCCAGAGATGTATAACTTCCTACTTCACTTTCATTCTTTGCTTCTTCATCAAGGCAGCCTGCCAGAGTTAGCACAACTCCCAAACTTTGGTATGAATAAAGCTCTGAATACAATGCATGGTGACTTCCTATCTAGTCCTTTGGCCGATATTTCTGTTTTTATGTCAGAAACACTTCTGTCTCTCTTGTTGCTCTTGCTTTTCACCTAGAGAGAAGATCTGCCTGAATATAAAAACCAGACTGATCTGTAAACTCCCAGCCTGAACGCCCATGCTTCTAGAATGCTGTGGATAAATTTCCTCATAAAAGTTATCAGGATCTGAGGCTGGAGATTTTGGGGCTGAAGGCTTCCTCTTTCCTATGCTCTGATTAGTCAAGGAGAGGGTCTGGGCATGGGCTCTCATGGCAGCATGATTGGTGTAAGTAACCTCTGAGTTTATCGTCCTAGATGTTGGGGGGATTGTGAAATCAAACCTCAGGAGCATCACTGAATGGATGGTGGCTCTGCTGTTGTGCAGGTGGCTTGAACCAACGGTGAACTTTACAGATTACCTTGTCTCATTTAGTTGGCTTACTTTCTTGAGGGCATTGGGCACACACCTGAAGAAGAGGCTAGGACTCCCCTGAAGTGGGTAGACAATTCCCAGGTCAGCTATGGCAATAAATAAGAGATCTTCATGAGGAAGGAGACCCTTGTGGGAAGAACATCCAAGCCCAAAGGCCAGTTGCTCATTGTCATCAGCACTTCTTTCTCCTTTGCTGGGCTAGCTTTGGAGGGTTTGGGATGATCTTTTATAACTAGAGACTTTAAAATGCACACGTTAAAAATGTTCAGAGGGAATACTACCAATCAAAACAACCCACAAGATCTGGTGCATGGGAGATACAAGTTTTGGGAATGTGTAAATAAGAGAATGCTTAAAGGAATGGAAGAAACCTGCTATTTGTTAGATGTACATGTAGAAAAGATGATGTGAAGAGATGTGAACGCTGAAGGGTCTAGTCTCTCAGGGCACCCAGGGGAGTAGCCGAGATCACCTCCCAGAGAACCCTAACATCTGACACCAGGAACCAAACTCTTACACAGGAGTCTGAGTACCCTGAGGCCAGTATTTGAGAAATCATCACAGACTTGGCCGATTTGAAAGGATATTACGCAGGATTTTCATTCTTTTTTTTAATGATTACTGGGATTTGAACTCAGGGCCTTGCATTTGCTAGGCAAGTGTTCTACCACTTGAGTCATACTTCTGGCTTCATTCAATTCTAATAAACAGATATTGCACATCTGTTTTGTTCCAGGTACCATTTCTACTGTTTTGGAGTTTAGAGGCGAGAGAGAGTGAGAGTAAGAAAGATGAGAGAGAGAGAGAGAGAGAGAAGAAAAGAACAAAGAGGAGGAGAAGGAGCAGGAGAGGAGAGCGGAGGGGAGAGGAGGGGAGAGGAGGGGAGAGGGAACAATTCAGTAATCCAATAAATAAATGCAAAGAGACATCTTATGACCAGATTCATCTATGAAGGAGGAGGGTACCAAGTACCCTGAAATATGCAAATTTTACATGGTCAGAAGGATCAGAAACCACTTTCCTGAGAAAGTGCTAGGTAATTTCCAGGTTGACTGGGAGTATGGGATGATTCCTCCATGCATAGGGCAGAGCACATACAGGGCTGTGTGGGAGGAGGAGTGGCAGGTGCAAGTGTATGACTGAGAAGGGAGAAGGATAGATGCTGCAGCAGTGAGGAGGGCCTAATGGTACTGCTTAGGACAGCACCACAGGCAGAGGTATTCAGCAGCCACTATGAGGCTTTAAGCAGATAGGCAATAAACTTTATTTCTCTCTAAGAAAAGAAATTCTTGTTTTTTAGAACATACAAAAGACAATTTTTAAAAATTTGTCTAATAGCATTAGTTTACCTGACTCTCTCTCAGCCCTGCATGTGTAACTCCCTGTCTTGGGGGATAATTAGCATATCTATAAAATGACAACTTAAGCCATATTATAAATAAATTGAATGCAAGTGCCAGCAATAGGTGATCTTTGCCTCCTGGTACAAGGACCTGCATACTGCATGATGTTGATTATTCTTTTACTCCCAAAACTAATGGGGTAGAACTGTGGCCTTTGCAAAATTCAGTTTCTGAACATTTTTAGGTTAATCAAAAGTTCTACCGTAGCCTACTTTTTTACAACTTAAAAAATTCTTGATGTGTCATTTCTTACGTAAAATAATCCAGATGTCCTGTCTCTTGGTCCCTCTACAATATATATTGGAAACTTAGCTATGAGAGATTTGGAACAAGTGGCAAGTTAGAACATGGAACCAAACACCTGGGAAAAATGGGAAGTTTCCCTGGGCAGACTGAAATATTCCCATCTGGGACCTAGCAATTTGTTTCCCCACAATTTTTCTGTATGCTGTGTAGAATATTAAACTCCCCTTCCCCAGGCAGTACAGTTTTAATAATAATTTGTCTTCTAGGAAAATAGCTCTGCCACAAGCCTGACAAAGTTGACTTCAAATATCCCCAAATCAATCAATAAAAATATAGTCATAAACATCTATACTTTTATGTCTTTATCATAAGTTGTATGTATATTATATATAAATGTATGACCAATGTAAGTACCTATAAGAAAAATGACTCAGTCTAGTTATTCTTGACTCCCAAGAGTAAAGAAAGGGAGAATTATCCTTTATTTGGTGAGGGCCTATTATATGTTGGGCACTGTGTGAGTCAATTTTCGTGTGATACTCTATTTTTTTTTTTTGGTAGTACTGGTGTTTGAATTCAGGGATTAATGCTTGCTAGGCAGGAGCTCTTACTGCTTGAGTCATCTTGCCAGAGTCATGTGATATTCTTTTGCTTGAGCAAAGAGAGAATTGATCTGAACAGCTGGCAGGTTTATGGGAAAACAACAAGCTAATGCTGAGGAAAGAACTGGACTTTTGAGTTTGAGAGATACATTTATTGACCCTATGATTCCAGACAAGTTAAATGGCCTCTCCATTCAGACTATGTCTTATAAAACTACATAAGATGATACCTAGCACATCCTAGGTATGTAGTAAGAGGCTGATAATGATATCAGATGAAAAGTATTAAAGAGACACTTAAGGTTTGAATCATTCATTTCCATAGTAAAATGTAATGAGAAAAGCTTTTCATTATAGACAAAATTATGAAAATGTGTTACTTGACTTTACAAATGACAATTGTCTCCAAGATTACCTACTTCTGTTCTTACCCCAACTCTGTAAAAAATTCCTTTTATAATGTTGAATAAGCTACTTCATCTCATTGAATCTCAGTTTCTTCCTTTGTAAAGTGGGTAAATTGGGGAGACAATCACTCAGGGCCTTTTCTGCTCTAATAGCCTATTCTTCAATTCTCTGATTCTTCTCAAAGTTCAGAGAGAACACTTCCCTAAGATACTGGACACAGGGTAGAGGCTTGATGGGTAACCAAAGGTATACCTTAAAGAGATACAAGAGTGGGGAACCTCGATAGAAACCCTGTCTTGGAGTCAGAAGGGGGAATCTGGATTAGGTCCTCATACAGTAGTTGGCAGGGAAAATATCATCAGATATTGTTCCTTGTCATTCCTGTAAACACCTCCACCCAGCTGATTGCAACTGATGACCTGATTTGAACATTTGCTGTGTGAGACAGATGGGAGTTGGGGTGGGATGGGCCATAAGGAGAAAAGAGGGGGTGGAATAGTATGTACAGCACCAAGGGATGAGAAAGGCAGCATTAAGTAATATTCTCAGAGATCCTCATGATTGGCCTCGTGTTCAGCCCACATGGACAGTCTTCTGGGAGACCTGTTCATCTTACTCTACTAGCCTGAATACTCTGTGAGGTGAAACTAGATCTTACTTCTTTGGGTGTCCCCAGAAACATGCGTATGGTGATACTCAATATATCCTTGTCAACTAAAGGAATCACTCTTCTCCATTTATGTGTTTATTCTGTAGGGGGTTTTCTATACTGCGTGAACCCATTCTGATTACCTGGGCAACACCAGAGAAGACTCATGAGCATATGAGAAATGGCTTTCTCAGACAGGAAAATGTTGACCTAAATACTGTCTACTGTCATGAGCCTGTCACAATGTCAAGCACTCCAGATACCCCACCTCTGACCACCCTGATTCACAGAGTGCTGTGGTCCCCACTCCTCACCCTTTCCTACTTTATTTTCTTCCCAGACCATTCTATTACTGGGTACTACATTATATTCATTTGTTTTGCCTCTCCTGATGGAATGGAAGCACACTGAAGTCAGGGGTTGTGTGTGTTTTATTTTTCATTTATTTCCCCCATAGAAAGAACAATGTCTGACACATAACAAATGTTCAGAGTCAATGCATACTCATTGGAAGAATGACTGGATGTTATTCAAGAGGTAGGTACAATTTTTACTATCATTTCATAGCTAAGAATGGTGAACGTCCTAAAGTTAAGTAACTTGCTCAAAGTCACATTAATAGTATCACAGATACTATTTCAGAGCCTTACTTCTTAGATACTGTATGGCTTTCTCCTCTGCTTTAGAACCAAATTTAGACATAGGGAAGGCTTCTGTGCTTTCCTGACATTTGAGAATCTGCTTCTTGTCAAAGACACAGAATCTTTTGTTTTTGACTTCTCTTCACTCTACTTCTTTTGCTCCCCAGGTCTCCTTTAAATACTACTACTAATGATACTAAAACTGCAAGGTAAAATCTAGTTTGCATGCTCTTTTTGAATTACAAAGCAATTCTGTAATCCATTATCTCACTTAAAAATTGCTGTATATAATAATCAAGGAAATATTAATATCATTACTGGTAATAGATGAGGAAACTGAGGTTCAGAGAAGTTAGACAAATGGATCTGTATGACTAATATATGGTGGGGCAGGACCCA